GGGAGGGGGGTGATGGGGGCACCAGCAGCTACATGTTGGACGTTCAATACAACAGCAAAACGCAGACTAGCAGACACTGAGGGTGCGCGTCCCGGTGCGTAAATCAACTAGAAACTCAGCTTTCAGACGGATCAGTCTTTAGATGTATTAATTTCAGATGAATCGGTGATATTTAACACGTGAATCAGTGATGCTGTGATTGAATGAGGTTGTGTTTTTACCTGTGCAGGAGATCTGTGAGTGACCAGCGTGTTTGGAGAGCTGTCTTCGGCGCGTAATGGAAAGGCTGCACTCCAGCTGCTAATCAGAGGAAACATGTGGGCAAAATGCCTTATCAAGAGCAATAGCACTAACACAGAGACAATCTACCAAATAATTTAAAAAATGCTGAGAGATAGACGTTGCATTGTGAAGACGAACAACTCAGAAACTGAACATCCGTGTTTGGCGCACTGGGCGTACCAGTGGCACCGTCGATCATCCACGTGATTTCTTTTCACTGTTAGGGAGATACTGATGGTAAACATGGGACTTTCCAGCATGTTTGGAGGGGATTTGCGTTTTGGTTTTTCTTTTCTACATTGCAGTTGTCTGGAAATATTTCTATATCGATCTCAAGGACAACACATACGATGATAATAATAATACATGTTGGTTGACATGTCAACTAATATTAAGGTTAGTAGATAGTTGTATTTTGACTAGTTTAAGGAAATATTTACTTTTTTCTTATGACCTGACAAACTTGTCAGGGTCCAGATATGAAAACACTTCTTCACAGGACTCCATGTTTTTATGCAGCATTTCCAAAGATGAATGTAGTCAAAAAAAAAGTAATTCAGAACAAGAATTCAAAAGTGACATAAAAATCGCCTGACTCAACAGAATTGCTTTCATTCTGAATGTTCTGTGATTTTATTGTATTTCAAATAACAAAGTCCCCTAAACTGATAGGTGGAGTCATAATATGATCAAAACAAAAGGACCGCCTCCTCTTTGATTCTGGGTTTACTTGTCAGGATAAAAAACAGACATCAGAGACTGAATGTGAAAGAACTCTCTGAAAGGATCGCAGCATCACCTCAGAACAAAGCAAAGAACATGTGTAAGACCAACCAGGTGGTTCTCAGCTCCTACACAGGAGAGATGAAGACCATCAACCTGCTGCACAAAACCAAGCAGCACCTTCCAAACGTGAC